CTGATCAAACAATTCAGCTGCTAATGCTTTTGCTAATTCTGTTTTACCTACTCCACTTGGTCCTAAAAACATAAAACTTCCTATTGGTCGTTTTTCATTTCCTAATCCTCCTCTACTTCTAATGATTGCATCACTAACTGCTGTCACTGCTTCATCTTGTCCTATTACTCGTTTATGTATTTCACTTTCTAAATTCAGTAATCTTGCTTTCTCACTTTGATTCATTTTAGTAACTGGAATTCCTGTCCATCTACTCACAACTTCTTCTATTTGTGTTGCTGTGACTTGTAATGATATCATTGTTGTTTCTTTATTTTGTTTCTTTAATTCTGCCAATCTCTTTTCTGCTTCTGGTATTGCATAATATTTCAAATCAGCTGCTACTTCTAAATCTTTAGTACTTTCTGCTTTATGTTTCATACTTTCTATTTTTGTTGCAAGTTCTTTCATTTCTTCACTTCCTCCTTTTTCTTTCTCATAATTAATTCGTAACTTTGTTAATTTCTCTTTATTTTCACTCATTTCTTTTTCAATTTCTTTAAGTCTTTCTTCAATAACTTTTTTATGTTCTTCATCCGTTTCTTTAACTTCTCTTTCTAATGCTATTTTCTCCACATTTATTTGTGTTTCTCTTCTTTCTAATCTATCTATTTCTTCTGGTTGTGAATTCTTTTGTGTAAATAATGTAGCACATGCTTCATCAACTAAATCAATTGCCTTGTCAGGAAGAAATCTTCCATTGATGTATCTTTTACTTAATGTTGCTGCTGAAACTAATGCTGAATCCGTAATTGTTAATCCATAATGATTTTCATATTTCTCTCTTATTCCTCGAAGAATATATAATGTATCTTCTACACTTGGTTCACTTACATAAACTTGTTGGAATCGTCTTTCAAATGCTGGATCTTTTTCAACATATTTTCTATATTCCTCTAACGTTGTTGCTCCAATACATCGTAATTCTCCTCTTGATAACATTGGTTTTAAAATATTAGCTGCATCCATTGCTCCTTTCTCTGTTGCTCCAGC